CAATGAGCGGAACTGTAGGTATTTGAAATACCAGTGATATAGCTTTCTGTATCATAGCAACACACAAATCATCACAGTATGACAAGCTGACAAATAGGTGGTCAAACAACAATCTACTGTAATAATATACCACCTTTCTTCCTGTAACAAAACAAAATAAAGACATTTTAAGATATCACATTAACAAATGAAAAACTAAATATAGACATAGAAACATAATAGCTAATATCACCCATCAAAGGATAAATGAATATTTTAAAGAACATACTGTTCTTGAAACCCTATATCCAGTTAGAATATTAACTACATTTATAGTGTCCTTGAAGTGAGTATTATGGGAGCATTTGGGACACCATTTTTGAAACGATCGGACCATGAACAGCTTGTTTTCTTTTCTTGAGCTGCTTGCCTGCTTGATACGAGTCCAAAAATGGTTTCATGATAAACAAAACTTCAGCTAATAGTCTTTTTTTCCTACTTTCCATTTTTATTGCATTTGTGAACCTTGCTATAAATACCTCTACAAAGAAGAGAAATAAAATGAATCCATGGATATCACACTAAATGGTGTTATAATAAAAATGAAATCCAAGAATAATCTTGAGTAATGTTTATATTTAAGTATTTCGCTTCATTCACCTTATACTTTAATAAGTTGAATGACTTGTAGCTCCAGAAACATGAACAATGTCTTGCATTTATATCTAGCAGAACTTTTTATTTTCCACCTAAAATACCTTCACTTGCTTACCTCCCCACCATTGTTAGATAGGTATATATAATTATGTGCCTTACATATACACTAGAATAGGTCACAAGCATTTTAAATTCTAATCAGTTCACGATTGTGCCCTGTATAGCTCCTATCATTCTTATCTCAATAACTGGTTCCCACTATAACCAAACCCAATTCCTTCCTTTCTGTCTCACACCAACCTCTATTCTATCCATCACCAAGTCTATTCTTCATCAAAAAGCTATGTTGTCCTCATTGTGTTAAGCTGGGTTCTCTTGAGAAGTAATAACACACACACACACACACACACATACATATATATTTATATCAAGAAAATAGCTCACACAGTTGTAGAAGTGGTTATGTCTGGCTAATTCGAGTCTATGGGTTCCATGTTTTGCCAGAACTACCATATCAGAAAGCAGAAAGACCACAGGCTGGTGAAGGGAGAGATGGATGAAATAAAGGTTAGTAATTCAGACTTGTAGATTTCTGGACTCAAATAACTGCCAAGGCTGCTTATCCAGGAAGTAGGAAGAGGAACCAGCAGTAAGTCTCACACACGGCTGCAGAGTCTAATGAATCCAAAGTTAGCAAACAACGTGATATGGAGCCGCTAGTTCCCAGGATCAGCAGGCAATAACACATGTCTATGAGCCTGAGGCAGAATCTACACCAGCAAGAAGTGAGTTAGCTTCCCTCTAGTGTCAATTTATCCAAGTGTAGCCCACACCCTCAAAGAAACATCCTGCTTCTAATTGCCTTTAGGTCATGGAGGCTAGCACTCCACCCTACTTTTCCCACAACAACTTGGCAACTTAATATATTCTATCATGGAAGTGATTACATTTATATTGTACCATATCATGGGTAAGTCTCCAAGTGTGCAACTTTGGACAATCCTGGCTTATATAACTCGACACAAAATCTATCATACTCATCAACTTCTCTTCATTGCCTTGTCCTTGTATCACACAATCTCATTAACATTTAAAGTGGTTCTCATCCTGTGGTTCTAAACCCCTCTGGGGGTCCAATGACCCTTTCACAGTGGTTGCCCTATTCATAACAGTAGCAAAATGACAGTTATGAAGTAGCAATGAAAATAATTTTATGGCTGGGGGTCACCACAACATGAGGAACTGAATTAAAGGGTCATGGCATTAGGAAGGTTGAGAACCACTGATTGATTCTGACTTGCAGCAACCCTATAGGGCAGGTAGAACTGCCTCTGTGAGTTTCTGAGACAATAATTGTTTACAGGCATAGAAAGCTCCATCTCGCTGCCCTAAAGCTGTTTGTGGTTTCAAACTGCTGACCTTGTAGCCCAATGTGTACCACTACGCTACCAGAGCTCCTTTATCACACACTATTAGCACTGTTTCCTAAGCAGTCTCTCCAGTGTTCACTCTGGCAGTCTTCAATTACATTCTCTGAGAATACCCATTTTGTATTGAAAGCATGTATATTAAAGACTTTTCATTGCATTTAGAATAAAATTTCAATCTTTGGCTTACAATATCCTGTTATCACCTCAAATTGCATTTGTTTCCATTTTTTCTCCTCCCTTTTGAATTTTCATCACATAAAAATATTTTCTGACTCAGTACCACCGCCCTTGCTCTACTGTTTGCCTAGTACACTGCTGAACCCACCATTCTTCTCACCCTTTGGGTTTAAACATAAAATCACTTTATCAGGGATATTATCTCTAACACTATGCTTTCCTATTAAGTCAACTCTGACTCAGAGCAACCCTGTAGGAAAGACTAGCACTGTCTCATAGGGTTTCCAAGGCTGCAATCTTTATAGAAACACGTTACCATATCTTTACCTCATGCAGAAGCTGGCGGGTTCAAATAGCTGGCCTAATAATTAGCCATCTAGTACTTAACAGTTGGGTCACCAAGTCTCCTTATCCATAACGTTGCTATTAGTAAATGGATCATATCGTTTTACTTCACTCTGTATATTTCATTGCTTGTATCGCTATTTGTAATTATGAAATACTTCAGGGGTTAAAAACTCAGAGTGATAGGATCCAACCAAAGATAATAATAGGTGAAGTGGGTCTGGTAGAAAGCCATATGAAGTGATGAGGATTAAAACTAAACTTAAACATATGTAACTCCAGCTCATTGGGAAATGTAGTCATAATGTTGGAACTACTCAACTTTTCAAGAGAAACAGAAAATCTAAGTATTAATGAGAATGTTCTATATATTAAAATGTTATAAAACAATTAGTAAACATTTGATTTTTTTAATTGTGTGGTTCAGATAAAGCATAACTGGTAGCCATAATTCACACCAATCCTCCAGATTGTGACCTCTGATAAATGTTTCAATTTACCCATTTGTTGCCCATTTTACCTAATAGACTGTGAGCTCCATGAGGGCTGGTGAATATGCCTGTATTGTTCATTAGTTTATCTCCAGTGCCTAAAATGTGTCAGACACAGATCAATTCAATACATGTTTACTACAAAATTAATCAACAGGCTTAAACTTTGTACACTTTTGATATCATAATGCTTTCGGAATTGGTTATTTAAAAAATAAAATAAATTAAAAATAAAGCAATGAATTTTATCTTGTCTGCTCAAAAGGGACAACACAGTATAAGTAAGAAACATTTATGGAAAAACAGTGCAGTTAGTAATATTGGACTGTATGTATACTCAAATACCTTATTTCAAGTTCCTATGTGAGTTTCATATTTTCATAATCTCGAATAGTTGTCATTGATACAAAGATACTATTTAATATGCTAGTCTAAAGGAAAGGCTTGTTTTTCATTATTGCACAAGATGTGAGTATAATTTAAAAAATTTTATCAGCCAATTTGTATAACAGTAAATAGTAGTGGGTTTTGTAACTATTTTATTTAGGGCCTTTCTGAAATCAATTAAACTGTTAGTAATTTAATAATAAGTGCCTGCTCCAACAAAGGATGTCACAATAAACCCATAGTTATAGATCATTTTTAATGTTTGAAAACATTTTCTTTTGTTATTTGGGTGAAAGTTTGCAGAGCGAATTGATATTTCTCTCAACAATTCATACTCACTTTGTTTTGTGACATTGATTGCATTATTCCCACCTCCTCCTGTTTCCTTGTTTCATTAGACCTTCTTTACAGAGACATTATGAACAATTTATACACAATTCTTAATGCATGTAGAAAAATCCTAAAATGGCATGGAGATACAATTATTTTCTAAATTCCAGTGACTTTCTAGCTTTAAATTTGGAAGCAATTGTCTAAAGAGGTTATCAAGTACCATTATCTTTAAATGTTAATATGCTTACATTTTTATGTCCCACTAATTCACACACTACAAGTTCAAATGTTCAACCCTTCATAGCACATAAAAAAGTTATCAGAACAAGTGAACCACCACAATCAAATGTGTGACATAATGCACACAGTTTTGACAAGAAAGTCATGATGACAAAATCGCTTTCAGACACAATACTATTAAAAAATGGAAACAAAAATTTAAATGTTCATGTCATATAAATGCACAACAATAACTTCAAATTGTCATTAAATATGTTTTGTATTAGGGATGCAAAAGCTGCACCCACCCCCTCATCCCATGGAATTTTATGTTGGCACCCAATAAAGTCAAATCTTCCCACAATTCAACATCCAACAATCTTCTGATTATATCAAAAAATAAACGACAAGCAAATTATTTCATGTCTTAAAAAAACACATCTACACAGAAAAAAATGGGATGAAGTGGTATTTCCTCCTTCTTAAAAATGTTTCTAGAGCTACTAAAAACTTACATTTACAAAATAGTTAATACAAATATTCCTCTGCATTTTATAAGAAGAGAGATAACAGGGCCCACTGATAAGACATGGTAAATAAAAATTAATCGACTTTGCTTCTTTTTCTCCAGCTTCATCAGAGACTGGTCTCTCCTCATTTTTCATTTCTCTATTTTTTTTGTTCTATGAACATTTATTTGTGTTAGTTATGTTAAAATCTTATTCCATGGGTATTCATCCAGCTAGCTTTCAGCAGGAACCGGCATGGTTGATTACAAATCCTTTAGTTCTCCAAATATGAAGTCTTAGATCCTATCCTTTTTTTGAGAACTCATTTCCATCCGCTACAGCAAAAACTTGAGTCTTCACATCTTTTAAAGTACTCCAATGTGCACCTGGGGTGGGGGTGGGGGGGATTCCAAGATAAAAAAGCTGAATCCCCCAAACCAATTCATTTTCCCCATTAAAATGCTATCTCAGGGCTTTTCAGTGTTAAATTTGTCTACATGCTCTCTTCAGGTCAGACATTCATTAAACATCATTGTAACATTTCTCTATTTTTGCCAGGTAAATCTTCTTTGGTTTCTTGGTGAGCCACTTCAGCCTGTTTTCCCTTTGCTCACACTTTTTGGTCTGAAGCTGCATCCTTTCCTGCTGCCTTTTTTGGCTTTGTCTCCACTTTTGTAAGAGCAGGTTTCACGGACAACCTTGATGATATCCAGTTGGGCTCCTCCTTCACTGCCCTTTGGCCCAGCTGACATTCCTTTTCAGTATCTTGGCTGTGGGGAGGGTGCTTTCCAGATGTCTGAGGATGGGGCACAGAGAGCTTTTTCAAAGGTGGGTTGCCTTGCAGCTGTATCTGGGTTTGGGAGACTCGTAGGTCCTTCTTGTCTTCTGAGCTTCATTTCTTAGCAAATGTTTCTCTTTTGATCATTTGTGGTTGATTGTTCTAAGTAATGAATACCGCCCTTGTGTTATTGCTCACCTTGTGTTATGCCTTTGATTTGAAAGTTGAGCCATGGGAATGAGTTTTGTTCCGGGCCATTATCTCAGGGATTCCATCTATCTCTATCAAACCATTACTGAGCCTGTTTTTCAAATTGTTATTTTGACTTTTCCCCACATTTTCCCCCTCCATCCTATTCAGGAATTCCTATCATGATAACTTTCAAAACCATTTGCAATGCAAGCCAAGAACCATTTAACTCTTCTGGGCTCAGAGTCCAGTCGTGGAAGCTGGGATTCATGTAGCCCTTTAGTCTTTTGAACTAATTATTCCCTTGAATCTTTGATTTTTTTTTCCCAATCTTCTGTGCTCAAGATGGGGAGAGATTTAGAGTCACTAATTTTTTTTTAAATATGCTAAACAAAAAGCCCTGGTGGGTTTCACTTTGGGCTACAAACTGCATGTTCAGAAGCTCAAGTCCCACGAATTGCTCTGCAGGGAAAAAGATGAGGCTTATTACTCAATTACGGATGTACAGTCTTGGAAAACTAAAAGGACAATTCTACTCTGTCCTAAAGGGTCATTGTGAGTCAGATTCAACTAGATAACAGTGAGTTTGGGTTTTATCTATAAACTGACTTTTAAATTAGATTAAGAAGTAATCAAACATTCTTATCAATTTAAGACAATTGGTGGCTTTTTAAACATATTTGAATTTTATTTTCCTACTCTTCTGAAAATAAACTTATGTTTAACTGTGTGTATCATAATTGTTGCAGATGTTTTAACTAAACATTAAAATATTTGCTCAGATGTTTTAACTAAACATTAAAAATATTTACTCTTTTCTTTTGGGATATAATATTTCAGGAAAATAAAAAAATGTATGCACACCATTCCCACATACTCAATACATGGAAATAATATTGAATTTGGGGGAGGGGAAATAAGCTTACCATACTGAAGTGCATAATTGAAGAAATAATATTTTTAAATTAATGCCTTAGGAAGAATGTACCTTTCTGTTTCTTTGGGGGATTATGTTAAAATATAAGATTCACTGCTAATGAGGTCAACACTTCAAGCAAGATAAATTGAGTTTTCTTCATAAGCAGCAAGATTTTTATTAAAAATATGATTTCATTTAGTTCCAATACAAGAGAGTAGTTTTCTTCTAATTTTATTCTTTTTACATGGATGTGACTGTAACAGAAGTATTATGCAGATTAGACTGAAAAATCATCCCATATGATTAATTAAAACATTTTTGTGATGCTTTGAAGAAATTACATGTGTGAGCATAATTATTATTATTAATAGTGAACACATGTTTTGCTTGCTTGCCAAGCCATTAATTATACTATTAAATGTATATTTTTAAAATTATTATCTTATGTTGCCAAAAAATATTGAATATACCAGCAGAATGAAAAAATCTGTCTTGGAAGAAGTACAGCCAAGTAAATAATATACAAAAGAATACCAGAAGAATGAAAAAAATCTGTCTTGGTCCTTAATAGTAAAGATGTTGAGATTTCATCTCACGTATTTTTAACACATTATCAGGAGTGAGATAGTTAAGGTTTATTATGCCAACCTGGCTGATAAACACATGTGGGATTAACTGAAGGGCAGAAAGATAAATGGCTTGGTGAGCCTCACCTTTCTAGTTCTTGGATCTCTTGCTCTCTGATGGTCGGTCCAGGGTGCAGCTGCCTTAGTCAGTTCCCTGCTTCAGCTGGCAAGGCTCACTTGCTGTGAGACATCCCTGAGGAGAAGCCAGATGGACCTACCCTGATGCAACCCTGGGTGCTGGAGCAGCCATGCGGAGATCCCTGCCAGCGCTGAGATGTATACACTTCACTGATTTGGCTTTCCTCCTGCAGTTGGCATCATTGTGTGTGTTTTGTGAGATTGAGGAGGACTTTGTAGATGGCTGTCAGGCATATGGGCTAATGTTGGACTTATGTACTTGGACAGCACTGGGTTGGGAAGCTTTCTGAATGTACACTTACCCTTTATATAAAACTTTCTCTTATACATATATGAGTTTCTGTGGATTTGTTTCCCTACCGTATCCAGACTAACACAGGAGGGATCTGCTCCTGATAAGGATCCTATGCTTGATAAGTAGAAGGTCAAGTAAAAAGCGAAAGCCCCTCAATGAAATAGATTTATTAAATACATACATTTTTATACAGTTCTAATCCAAGAGAGATATTTCTCTTTTAACTTTATTCATTCCATATTGGTGTGGCTAATTCCACAATTTCATATTTTCATGAAAAAATATGCCATGTTATTTATGAGATTTTTTTCACAATGCTGGGCCAAAATGATATATATGGGCTGAAATGACATATTGGCAGCAATACTGTGTTCAAAGTTAGGAATGATTGTGAGTATGGTACAGGGCTGAACAGTACTGTACTTCTTTCTGTTTATCCAGAGTAGAATTAAAGACAGTTCACTCCAATAAAAATATACCAGATGATCAGTGGTGGTATTCAGTTCATTCTCTCTGGTTCGGCAGAACAAATACCTAAATTTTTAAACCGATACTGGTTGTTAAAATGGCACTTACTGGGAAGCCATCCAATGTGGAAATCACAAATTTGCATTCCTTACTCTTTTTAAAGGTGACCTTATTTTAGAATTCTTACTTAAGTATTAACAATATGAAATGATAAACTACTTTTTGATAGATCATTTTTTATATACTTAAAATGGTCATTAGGGCAGTGAATTAGTTGTTAAACTGTTTGATACCACCATTGCATATGTTGTTCTTGTGATTTTGTGTTTTCTTACAGGTTGATAATGAATCACTTATCTTAAATAAAAGAGCATTGAATCTTCAACTTCTGGATTCAACGCTTCCCTTACCTCCACTGTTGAATTAGTTTGATTACATTTACTGCAAGTTGCTATAACTATTGTAATTATTTTTGAAAGTTGAATGAACCATTTTAAGTCTTTTTGAAACAACTCAAGCTTTACACAAATAATGTAAATATTACATGAAACCTTTTAAAGCCATTTTACTGTTGTTCTTGCTTTACTGTAGCCAAGTATAAAATATCATGTAAATAAAGAACTATTGGTCTTATGTTAAAGTTATGGTGGTGGCTGAACCAGGTTATACTCACATAAAAGTGGAGATCTGGTTATTAAAAAATAATGAATTTCCAAAGCAGTAATATATCTAAAGAGAGGGTGTTTTGATTAGAAGTAGACTGATGTGGTATTCGGTATGGAAATATTTGTAAGTTCTCCTTGGGTGCCATCAAGCCATTCTGTCTCTCATTGAAACTCTATGTACAACACATTCTTGTGCAGCACTGCCAGGTCCAGATCCTACTTGACAATTGTTCTTATGTTTGAGTCCATGGTTACAGCCACTGTGTCAATCCATCTTGTGACGAGCCTTCCTCTTCTTCGCTGCCCCTCTACTTTACTAAGCATCATATCTTCTCCATGGACGGTCTCTCCTGACATGTCCAAAGTACATGAGCTGAAGCCACACCATCCTCGCTTCCAAAGAGAATTCTAGCTCTACTTTTTCCAAGACAGATTTGTTCATTCCTTTGGTAGTTCTTGGTACTTTAAATATTCGCTGCCTGTAACATAATTCAGAGGCATCGATTCTTCTTCAACCTTTCTTATTAAATTTATAAGTACATAACTTAAGTTCATTGTTCTTCATACCACTTTCTGAAATCAATCCACTAATTGTTATAGGTATTTACTATGAATCTGAAAAAAAAATTGAAAAACTTCTAAATCCCGTACAAATGTGAAATTACCTCTGGTGATCATATTGGCTAAGTAATGCTTACAGATATAGTGAAGTGATGATTATTCTATTTCTGAATTAATCCTTCTGAAAATTTCATTCAGCAACATACTTGAAGAAATCATGTATAAGGAGTTGGGTGTGCCTTGCAAAGTAAAGAACACAGATAATAATGAAACATTTAACTACATTATCTTATAAAAGGATTGACATTGTAAAATGATTTCTGGTGTACCAAAAATGTTTCTTTCTGGAAAATACTTGTAGTAAATATAATAGCTGAGTACAAGTGAGACTATGTACAAAAATTAGTTCATTTCACACTTTCTAATAATAGTAATTGAAAGGCTATTTTGAAGGTAGCAGTAAATGGGTATTAGAAAAAAATTAATGATTATTCGAGGAGTAGAGTGTTCTGAATTTACATATGTAGGATCGAAAGCATTAAAAGACATTTTAAGTGTTATAGAGATCATTGCTGGAGTTGATACTGCCATATATGCCGACACAATACGTAAATTTATATTATTCAGGGTCATGGCCGTCAAGTCAATACTGACTGACACTGTTCCCTGTGGGTTTCTGACACTAACTTTGCTGGAGGAGAAGGCCCGCTCTTTATCCCACGGAGCTCATGGTGGTTTTGAACTGCCAACAATGCAAATTGCAACTCAGTGCTAATCACTACCAACGAGGACTCAATACAGTAAATAAAAGTTCTTTTAGATACACTCTTAGTGACTTTTTGTATATTAGAACAATATACTACCTGGTCCTGCGTTATCTTCACAATCTTTGTTGTTTT